AGATATTTGCTCAAACATTGTGGATGAGTCTGTAAGAGTGTTTCTGGATGAGATTAACATTTGAATCAGTGGACTAAGTAAAGCTGATTGCCCTCCCCAATGTGGGTGGGCCTCATCTAATCTGTCGAAGGCCTGAAGAGGACAAAAAGGCTGAGTAAAGAATTCACTCCCTCTGCCTGTCTTTGACCTGAGCCATTGATATTCTGCCTTCGGGCTACACCTGTGGCTCTCTTAGGTCTCTAGCTTGCCAACTGCAGATCTTGGGACTTCTTAGTCTCCATAATCATGTGACCTGATTCTTTATAATAAAACTCTTTATTATGATAGAGAGGGAGGGAGGGAGAGACACTATATCTACCTATCTACATATCCATGTATCTATATCTATATATCTATATCTATACCCAACAGAATGATTATTGGGTCACTTTTGGTTTTTTGAGGAACCTCCATACTTTTTTCCATAATGGCTCCACCAACAGTGTATAAGGGTTTCCTTTTCTCCTCATCCTCATCAATACTTATCTCTTGTCTTTTTCTTTTGTAATTGACACATAATAACTGTACACATCTATGGAGTACAATGTGATGTTTCAATACATGTATAAATTGTGTAATGATCAAAAATCAGGGTAATAGCATATCCATCAGCCTAAACATTTATTATTTCTTTGTGAGGAGGACATTCAAAAACCTCTCTCGTTGCTATTTTGAAATACACGATAGATTACTGTTAACTCTAGTCATAGCCAAAATGGATAAAGGACCTAAATGTAGACCTGAAACTATAAAACTCCTGGAAGAAAACATAAGGGGAAAGCTCCCTGACATGGTTTTGGCAATGATTTTTTGGATATCAGAGCAAAATCTCAAACAACAAGAGGAAAAATAAAGAAGTGGGACTACATCAAACTAAAAAGCTTTGACACAGCAAAGGAACCAATCAACAAAATGAAAAGTTAGCCTATGGATTGGGAGAAAACTTTTGTAAACTATCTACATGATAGTCTGATAAGGGTTAATATCCAAGATATAAAAGGGATTCATACAACCCAATAGCAAAAAAATAAATAAATAAACAAAAATAACCCAAAACCCAGTTAAAAAATGGTCAAAGGACCTGAATAGACACTCCTCCGAAGAAGACATAAAAATGGCCAACAGATAATGAAAAAGTCCATAGAAAGAGTTATGATGCATGCTGCCTGCCCCTAAGTATTTTATAAATATATGTGGGGAGATAAAATCAATGTATATTTATTAGATTAAAAATGCTGAAAAGAGGCCGGGCGTGGTGGCTCACGCCTGTAATCCTAGCTCTCTAGGAGGCCGAGGCGGGTGGATTGTTTGAGCTCAGGAGTTTGAAACCAGCCTGAGCAAGAGCGAGACCCTGTCTCTACTAAAAATACAAAGAAATTAATCGGACAACTAAAACTATATAGAAAAAAAATTAGCCGGGCATGGTGGCGCATGCCTGTAGTCCCAGCTACTCGGGAGGCTGAGACAGAAGGATTGCTTGAGCCCAGGAGTTCGAGGTTGCTGTGAGCTAGGCTGATGCCATGGCACTCTAGCCCAGGCAAAAGAGTGAGACTGTGTCTCAAAAAAAAAAAAAAAATGCTGAAAAAATAAATGGTGTAAAAGAAGCTACAGATGTAAAAATTCAGATAAAGGAAGTGAAAATATTGAAAAGAGACTTTCTGAAAGTGGGAATTGAACTAGAAGCAAGCAGAGTGTTTGAGACTCCCCAGATATTCAAGTATTCTTACCCTTTCTGGAGGAGAATCTGTATACAATACTAAAATTGCATTTACTGTAGTGAATATGGGTTCCACAAAAGCAAGAATTCTTTCAATGCTATATCTCCAACCTCTGGAGTGGTGTCTGGCATTCTGTGCATTCAAAATATTAATTGAATTAATAAGCAAAAATCATTCAGAGAATCACTCAGGAGTCAATTATATACCTGGCATAACTACTTTTCAAAGAACATATTGATTGACTAATTATCATCAGTTCCTTATCATTGATGGGGATTGGTTGTCCATGCTTTGTCCCACGTGTAATTGGAGTCAGAGGTCACTTACATGTAGCTACAGGGCAAAAATCAGGATGCACTATCTGTCTCTCATCCCTTAGTATCTCTTCTACCTTCCTGATGGGCTATCTGAAATTCCCCGTCAGATTCACTGTTTAGTTTAAGATTTTCCTTTCTCCCCTAAAACACTTGTTCACAGTAAGAAAGCTATGCTGTACGGAACCATGGCCTTCAAAGACGTCCATGTCCTGATCTCTGGATCTCTGAACATGTTACCTTATATGGCAAAAGGTGCTTTGCAAATATGATTAATAATACAATCTTGAGATTTAAGATTATCCTAGATTGTCTGGGTCTGCCCAATGTAGTCACAAGTGTCCTTATAAGAGGAAGAGTCAGAGTCAGAGAGGAAATGTGATAACAGAAGTCAAGGTTGGAGTGATACTCTTCGAAGAAGGAGAAAGGCTCCAGGAGCCAAGGAATGCGGGCAGCCTCCAGAAGCTGGAAAAGGCAAGGAAACAGATTCTCCTCTAGAACCTCCAGAGGAATGCAGCTCTGTTGACACCTTGATTTTAGCTCTGAAGACTTGTATCATCTTCTTTCCTTTAGAACTGTAAGATGATAACTTGGTGTGTGTGTGTGTGTGTGTGTGTATGTGTTTTAAGCCACTAAGTTTGTGGAAACTTGTTACAGCAGCAGTAGAAATTAATACCAAAGCTACTTAAGGAGTTTGGCCAGCCCTAAGAGAGGTTGATTGTAATAAATTGAAGGAGAGGCATTTGGCAGGACTTCTACTTAGGAGATAGACATCTGCCCTGATTTAAAGGTGGGAAATGCCTGAAGTGTGAGACACTATAAAGGGACTGATATTTAGCCATCCAAAAACTGACTTGGGGAAAAACTGATTTTGAGACTATAATACAGTTTTCAGATATTTCAGGTGTTGTGAACAGACACTCGTTTGGATTATGCGTTTCTCAGCTAGACTAAATAAATGTTAATGGTGGAAAGACATGGCGCAGTTGCAGCTTGCTCAAGACCATTCTGTCCTCGACCCTCAGAAATGGCACTGTGTGGACTGCGTTACGATTGAGTCTACCTGGACTTTCCTTGGCTCTTCCCATGTTTCCTGTGGAAGATATATTGAAGAGCATGCGCTGAAGTGCTTTCAAGAAAGCAGTCACCTTGTTGCATGAGCTGAATGAGATGGTGCATGTCTTGTATGTGACAACAAATCAAATATCATAGAACTTTTCTGGGGCTTGTCATTGGAATTTCCAGGAAGATACCAATGTAGTGTAAAAGATATTGCTTCCCAGCCATGTCTGGTTACTGAAATGTTGGCCAAATTTACAGAAACCGAAGATTTAGAAGGAAAAATCTAGTGTACTCACAGAAGCCCAGAAACAGACTATGATGTGCCACCTACCTCAGGTTCTAAGACTACACCTCAAACAATTCAGGTGGTCCAGATATAATAGCTGAGAGAAGATTGATGTTCATGTTGGCTTTGAAGAAATCTTCAACATGAAGCCCTATTGCTGCAGGGAGACCCTGAAATCCCTCAGGCCAGAATACATTGTCTATGACTTATCTGCTGTAGTAATACACCATGGGAAAGGATTTGGCTTAGAACACTACACTGCCTACTGCTGTAATTCTGAAGGAGGGTTCTGGGTATATTGCATTGATTCCCAACTAAGCGTGTGCACTATGGATGAAGTATGCAAGGCCCAGGCTTATATCTTGTTACATACCCAATGAGTTACTGAGAATGGACATTCTAAACTCATGCCTCCAGAGCTCCTGTGTGGTAGCCAACATAGCAATGAAGAAGCCTCTCCTAATGAAATCCTTAGCTGATCTAAGACAGAGGGGCTTTTTTCTTGCAATTTGTATATATACTTTTTAAAAGGGCTGATTTTGAGTTTCATTGTTTTTGTTTTTTACTGATAAATCAGTGCACACTACATTTATACATACTGTACCTAACTACAACAAAATTCTTTTTTTTTTTTTTACAGAGACAAAGTATAAATATATCAATTGCAGGTAACTAAACATTTTTCAAATACTTGGGAGTTTTGGCATTTACCTCAGACTGGTGCTACCTCTTTTATATTTTGATGTCTTAATTGGCTCAGATCATAAATTTGTACAATCTTCTACTGAAGAAGTTCAGGTGGCATCAATTTATATACATTTGTTACTTATTTATCTTTTGTAGCTATTTTCCATACAAATTCTTAAAAAATGGAAAATTAGACACTTTCTTCATTAATAGTCTTACCAAAAAGGCATTTCTTTCAGGCCATTTGTGTATTGTAGTCACTTGTGCCCCTTGAAGCATGTTAAACTAATACATCAAAGTGAAACATCAAGGTATCATCTAAATATTCAGCAATCACACTCACTGATATTCCTGAGGCTTTATGTATTACAGGCCTTAGAATAGACATTACTTTGGTTAATGTAACTTCACTTAAAAACTTATTAAGTTTTATAATTGTTCTTTATTTGGCATAGTCAAACTATCTAAATGAAAATGGCAGCTTTACAAATAGTATCATTAAGTGAACTTTGGAACTATGGACATGGAACAAATGATGGCTGGGATTTATGATTTTTTGTCTGGCAATAAACAGGTTTGTCCAGAGTCTAATAAAGCAGTCATATAAAACAATTGAATTTAGCAAACCAGTACATTATCATGTTATTCAAATAGTTTATCTTGGGTATGACAAACAGGTCCAGAGAAGCAATTAATTTAGTAGTGCCAGATGGGAGCCAGCTGACCCCTCCAAGCAGAAGTCCAGGGTACATGTGATGAAGGTTATTTGGACATGTAAGATGCCAATATGACAATTATTTTTATGGCTGGAGGCTTTCTTTTACGAACTTTCATAATACCTGCTTATGTAATTCTTTCTCATTTTCTTTATTTCATTAGCTAACATGAAAAATGATCCTAGTGTCTGGGGCAATGGATGGAATGAATCACTCTGCAGTGTCAGAGTTTGTGTTCCTGGGACTCACCAGTTCATGGGAGATTCAGCTTCTCCTCTTTGTCTTCTCCTTGCTGTTCTACTTTGCAAGCATGATGGGAAACCTTGTCATTGTGTTCACTGTGACCATGGATGCTCATCTGCACTTCCCCATGTATTTCCTCCTGGCCAACCTCTCAGTCATTGATATGGTATTTTGCTCAATCACAGCCCCTAAGATGATTTGTGATATCTTCAAGAGGCACAAAGCCATCTCCTTTTGCGGATGTATTACCCAGATTTTCTTCAGCCATGCCGTAGGGGGCACTGAGATGGTGCTGCTCATAGCCATGGCCTTTGACAGATACGTGGCCATATGCAAACCCCTCCACTACCTGACCATCATGAGCCCACGAATATGTCTATACTTTTTAGCCACTTCCTGGATCATTGGCCTTATTCACTCATTGGTCCAATTAGTTTTTGTAGTAGATTTACCTTTTTGTGGCCCTAATATATTTGATAGTTTTTACTGTGACCTTCCCCAGCTGCTCAGACTTGCTTGCACAAACACCCAAGAGCTGGAGTTCATGGTCACTGTCAATAGTGGGCTCATTTCTGTGGGCTCCTTTGTCTTGCTGGTCATTTCCTACATCTTCATTCTGCTCATTGTTTGGAAACATTCTTCTGGTAGTTTATCCAAGGCCCTCTCTACTCTGTCAGCTCATATCACTGTGGTCATCCTGTTCTTTGGGCCACTTATGTTTTTCTACACATGGCCTTCTCCCACATCTCACCTGGATAAATATCTTGCTATTTTTGATGCATTTATCACTCCTTTTCTGAATCCAGTCATCTATACATTGAGGAACAAAGACATGAAAGTAGCAATGAGAAGACTGTGCAGTCGTCTTGTGCATTCCAGGAAGATTTCGTAAATGGATCAGCTGTGAAGATGTGGAACTATGAATTCTCCCGCCTTCTGGTCATGGAAAAGACATTATGCAATTTCAGAGAAATATCCAAGACTTAGACCACATCATATCCCTAGAAATCTACTATCTATTAAAATAGGTATCTATTTCACCATCAAATTAGAAGTGATGTTGTTTTTTGATGCTCTGTGCATCACAGTGCTAAATATCACATCTTGGTAGGTCTTTTGTAACCTACCAATTTGAAAGTCCTTGTTCTAGGACAGTGCCATGTAATTAAGCAAATAATATTCTATCTTTTTCTATATTGGACAGATTTTTCTATTGATAAGCAAACTATTCATTCACATGATCGTTAATCTGTTTACTATCTTGATTTTAATTCGTTTAGTTCCTAAGTTGCTTCCTTTCTGTTGCCCCAGTTGCTACATATTTTCTTCCTTTTCACATTGCCCAATCTGGAATCTGGGAAATTGTTAGTCCCATGTTTAGAATATTAGAATTTAAAGTTAGAATGGATTACCTATATCATTTGTTCTAATCTCCTCCAATTACACATGCTAAAATCCAGGAATTGAGAAGTGACTGCAGTTTGCCCAAGGGCACACAGCTAGAAATCATCAAAGAGAGCGAGAAACCATGATCCAAGTTGCTAGGTCAATACCCTTTCACTTTCAAATTAATTTTATATTTGAATTTATGTCGTATTCTCCTCTTCCAGCTTTTCCTGTAGACCTAATTTTGAGTTTCTTTGAAGAAAGAGCTTTACACCCTTCATTTGTATTCCTTCCTCCCAGTACATTATCATTAGTATTTAGCACTTCTTTATCATTTCTAAAATCTTACATAATTTCTACCAGTACTACACATTTCCTTGTTCAGGTCCTACCAAACCTAAATTTTAAATCATTGCTTTAATTATGAAAAAAATGTTAAACTTCTTAAATAGTATTCTTTTGTCTGTGGCGGTATTCACAGGCATGCTTGATTAAATTTTATTTTATAGGCCTTAAGTTCACCCAAATACTTACAGTTGATGGTGTGTCCTTTTGGGGGGAAAAAATGTGATTGGTGAATTGTGTATTCTGATCAAGTAAATCACACTAAAATCATTATGCTTTTTTCTCAGAAAGATAAATCTCAAATATTTCAGCAAATAGAAAATGAAATATTATGTGCAAAAGTTCTCTTTTTCCAAAAATTGTGCAGCTTGTTATCTATCATGGTCACTAAAGAATAGCAAGGAACCTATTAATTGAAGTTTCCATCCTTCATGAGGTGATGAGGAATGCCTCTCATTATTTGTGTCCTAGAGAAGATAATAATTGACGTGACCCATATAGTACTTCTTATGGTCCAGGTATTGTTCAAAGTGTTTTACATTGAACCTTATGAAGTAGATACTCTCATTATCCCCATTTTCAAGAGGAACTGTATAAGGCACAGAGATGCTACATAGCTTCAAGGTCTATTAAGTATAATAATAAGCCTGGATTCCAAGTCTGGTAGTTTGAATTCAGGATCTTTTCTCATAACTCCTGCACTATAATGCATCTCTGGTAATAAAAAGTATCAGAATTCCTCTTTTACTAAAAAGCAATCCCTATTTGCAGGCCCTACTTTGGGTGACCCCCTCACCATCAAAGCCCAGCATTTATGGGGTCAACTGACTTACAAACATTTATTATGTACGTACATTCAGTTTGTTCTAGGCAGTCACTACTATCGGGGAAGTTGAAATACCAGAATTTCCCTGATGTACTGTACAGGAAAAAGTCTAAAGTCAATATTAAGTCAAATACGAGAAAGATATTTGAATGGATCTACTGTATGTAACCTACTTAGATAACTCTTAACTTTACCCTTCTGGGAGGGGCTGGGGGGACACGGCGTCACCATGGCTGCTGTAATAAAAATGGTAGAAGGAAGAACAACAGTTCAGTAGGTATACATCGACATGGTAATAATTCTATCAGTATTTGGCCAAAATGTACCTGTGACTATTTACTTGCACAATCAAACCCCAGGAAAAGAAAGAATATCACAACATTTCCCAAAACGCCGCCGCCCTTTCCCCGAAATGACGCTGACCACAATTGGCACCGGCGCCAAAATCCCGAGGCTTGGAGCCACTTTTAAAGGAGCCAATGAACTAAGGAGGGGAGAGGAGGAAGGTGAGCCCAGCGTGTCGTGTGAAACCTGTGTGTCATGTGTAAAACAGAAAAAGGTATAAAAGCTTAGCCTCTACCCCAAGGCGGGGTCCTAGCCCTTAGAAGAGGCCACTGCGTTGGTGCTCTGGGACTTGGACCCTAGCTCGAGCTAGCCAATAAACTCCTTTGCCATTTGCAGCCTCGGTGACTCTGCCTCTCTGTTCCTGGGGCTGAGGGGAACCGGCTCTAACAGCACATGCCTGTAGTCCCAGCTACTCGGGAGGCTGAGGCAGGAGGATCACTTGAGCCCAGGAGTTTGAGGTTGCTGTGAGCTAGGATGACGCCATGGCACTCTAGCCCGGGCAAAAGAGTGAGACTCTGTCTCAAAAAAAAAAAAAAAAGGATAGCCAGGTGTGGTATGTGCCTGTAGTCCCATCTACTTGGGAAGCTAAAGTAGGAAGATCACTTGAGCCCAGGACTCCAAGGCTGCAGTGACCTGTGATCGTGCCCGTGCACTCTAGCCTGGGTGACAGAGTGAGACCCTGTTTCTCTCTCTCTCTCTCTCTCTCTCTATATATACACACACACACACACACACACACACACACACACACGCATACATACATAGATAGATAGAGATGTAGATATATACACACACACATACACACTGCATTTTAGGGGTAGTGGTGGCATAAATATACCCCAAGAATACAGGAATGATGATCCCCATTGTATCTCCATTTAATTCACCAGTGTGTCCCCTACAAAAACCGGTCAGTTCCTGGAGAATGCCCATGTAAACTCATCGCAGTAGTAGCCTTCATGGCAGCTGCTGTGTCAAAAGTGGTATCTTTGTTAGAGCAGATTAATGTACCCGTAGGTATATGTGACCATGGGTCTGGTAAATTTTCTTTTCCATGTCTTTCAAAAAGGAGAATTAGTTACAGTTAGCATTCACTTGTAATGGACAATATATATATTTACTATTTACCCTTTGTCATAATACAGTCTGAAGAGACCTGGACCAATTGAATGCTTTACAGATCATCATAATGGTCCATTATATTGATGACATCGTGCTATCAAACCAGATAAAGAAAAATGGCAGGTATTCAATGCTTTGGTAATATACATGTGATCTCAAGGAAGGGAATAAACTCTATGGAAAATTCATGAAATTGTCACAACATGAAAATTTGGGGAGTTCGACGGTTTGGGACATGCCAAAAGATCCTCTTCAAAGAAAAGTAAAATTATTACATTTTGTACCTCCCATCACTAATAAGAAAGCACAGGCCGGGAGCAGCGGCTCATGCCTGTAATCCTAGCACTCTGGAAGGCCGAGGCGGGTGGATCATTTGAGCTCAGGAGTTCGAGACTAGCCTGAGCAAGAGCAAGACCTCATCTCTACTAAAAGAAATAGAAAGAAATTAGCTGGACAACTAAAAATATATAGAAAAAATTAGCCAGGCATGGTGGCGCATGCCTGTAGTCTCAGCTACCCGGGAGTCTGAGGCAGGAGGATAGCTTGAACCCAGGAGTTTGAGGTTGCTGTGAACTAGGCTGATGTCATGGCACTCTAGCCTGGGCAACAGATTGAGACTCTGTCTCAAAAAAAAAAAAAAAATTTAGCACATTGACCTCTATGGACATGATCAAGTGATTATAGTTAATTTTTTGAGTTAACATTTACCTATTTTCAGGGATTGATTATAATGGGTAATTATTAACAGTTCCAATAAAATAGGACAAAGATATTAGACAAAAAAATTCCACTTTTGTTTCTCTATTTCTCTCTAGCGTCTTATTATGAGTTTTTATATCCTTTGGTTCCACTGGACAAAGCAAATAGTTCTCTAGGGGCAAAGTACCTGATCCATGAGCTCCTTCTAAACCATCATGTTTTTGCAGTATCACTTGGTCACTGTCCTCTCGAGATCTATGTAATTAGCTTCATGTCTTCCTATGGCAGGATATTATATGGTACTTTGTGTTAGACAAAACAGGAAAATCTCAGAGTCTGTGAAGATGCTGGTCTCTTTATACAGGTAAAATGGAAGGATGGAAATACGTTTAACACTGGGAAGAGTGACTTTAGTCTCAGATGTGGTTTTCTTAATGGAGTTGCTATGGACATGAGTCTTATCCTAAGGTGCACATGTCATCCTAAAGTGAAGTGTATACTCTGGTTTCTCTTCAGATCATATAAATCTTTTACCTTTTACTAAAGTGAAGTAGACAGCATCAAGAGTAAGGAATTGAGTAGCACAGGAGAATAATTATGAAAAATTTTATTAACATATTAGAAAAGGTTAACTGAACTTGACTTTTAACTAGAATTATATTGTGCCCAGGGAAATATGAAAGACATTAGAAAAGGTGAAATGGCTGGGCAATGTTTTGGATTCAGTATAAGTTGCAATTAATCACTCTGTACTCACTGATGATTATATGAATGATTCTCATCTTCTGCCACTTGGTAAAAAGGCAAGAAAATTGATGACACATGAAAATAGAATAATAAAGTTTATTATATTTTTATCTCAATTTTCTTTTTAAAAGAGATGGGTATAAACCGATCATCTTCTGGACCAAGAGAAGCAAATTTCTTATGAATTTGTCAAGTTTGCAAGGTGGAAAACAGTTTCATAAATGCCAGAATAGAAATAAAAGACATGGATACCAACATACCTAAAGCTGAATAAATAACTCCAATGTAATGTCATTTTAAAATGCTATGTGAAAAATTTTAAAACAAGATAGTACATAAAACCACCAGGGGTTAGGTTCAGTTTTCCCAGTCTCTTATGTGGTTCAAATTTAGAGTATTTGTATTAATTTTTATCTCTAAACTGTAAGTAAATAAAGAAGGGCTTAGAGTGTGTTGACAAAAATCTTTTTAGGGATGGGATGAGAAAAAAAATTCTAAGAGTAAATAAAAAAGGTATTGAATTTGTGAGTCTTATGAACAGAAAGCTAAGGGGCAACTTATTTTGTTGTATTTATATATATAAAAGTTTGTTTAATCAAATAGCTGATTATAAAACTTTAATTACTTTATCCCTACAATTTACCCAGTGAAGTTAGTATTATTATTGCAATTTGATAGACAAATAAACGAGGCTCAAGAGTTTAAGTAACTGCTCCAGTCTCAACTTGTCAGTGGCTGAACTGTGATATAAATCTTGGTTTTCTGACTCCAAAGCCCACATTCTTTCTACTATACCATATTACTTCTCTAAATAAAACTAAAATTACAGTATAATGTGATAAATCCTTACATAGAGGCTTGAACAAAATGCTTCTCCACTACTTTATGATGTTCTTCATACTTTTAAGCTTTTCCGATAATATGCTAAGTATTCAACAGAAACGCTTCTCAAAAGCCTTCTCAAATTATCTTTGGTTTTTTTCCCTTAATTCTTCTTGTATTGACACTGTAGTAGAATGCAAAATGAGACACTTGGGATTTGCTGTAATATCAAATTATTAGAGAAGTTTCTGAATGTTCACTCTCAATTTCAGTACCTAACATACTCTAAACAGGTAACAGACAGTTCGTCTACCTGCACCTTTCTGTGAATCACTGTTCCATAGCTTCAGAGAATCCAAATGTGAAAAAGTACAATCCATGCCTTTCAGATGCTTGCAGGCTACTCGGTGAGTTAGACTTGTACCTAGTTCACTAAAATATAAGGGATAGGAAAATAAATGCTAGCAATATTAAGCTAGATCTCACAGATACGGTAAACATTTAATAAATCTTGAATATTAATATTTTTGAGAGGTGGGGAGTGGGAAGGAAGGGCTTATTTGCCTGAATAAGGCTTGTAATCTGGAAGTGGATGCAATAGTCGAAAAACATGAATCATTCTGAATGACTGGAGCCAGGCTATATTAGTATTGAATCAAAAATCAATCAAAAGAGGCAGGTAATCCGGCTGGAGAGGGCAGGAGGCGGGGGGAGTGGACCGGAGGGGTGCTGCCGGCAGTTGTCGCCCTGCAGATCCGGGACTCTGACGTTCACTCCTGCCTGCGCGACTTTGAACATGACACAAGTGGCACATCACGGCCATGGGATCTCAGCATTCCACCTGTGATCACCCCTCCTTTTGCAGGCAAAAGAAAGAAGATGACAGGGAGGATTTGCTGGCTGAACGAGAGCAGGAAGAAGCCATTGCTCAGTTCCCATATGTGGAGTTCACCGGGAGAGATAGCATCACCTGTCTCACGTGCCAAGGGACAGGCTACATTCCAACAGAGCAAGTAAATGAGTTGGTGGCATTGATCCCACACAGTGATCAGAGATTGCGCCCTCAGAGAACTAAGCAGTATGTCCTCCTTCCATCCTGCTCTGTCTCCTGGTATCCGGTTTGGTGGTTTTCTTCCTGTTTCCACACTCAGTCCTTGTGGATGATGACGGCATCAAAGTTGTGAAAGTCACATTTAATAAACAGGACTCCCTGGTAATCCTTGCCATCACGGCCACCCTGAAAATTAAGAACTCTAACTTCTATCCCGTGGCAGTGACCAGCCTGTCCAGCCAGATTCAGTACATGAACACAGTGGTTGGCACATATGTGACTACTAATGTCTCCCTCATTCCACCTCGGAGTGAGCAACTAGTGAATTTTACCGGGAAGGCTGAGATGGGAGGACCATTTTCCTACGTGTACTTCTTCTGCACATTACCGGATATCCTGGTGCACAACATAGTGATCTTCATGCGAACTTCAGTGAAGATTTCATACATTGGCCACATGACCCAGAGCTCCTTGGAGACACATCACTATGTGGATTGTGGAGCAAATGCCACAGCTGTTTAGCAACTGCTCTCGGTTCTTCCTCAGCAGCACCTGTAGAAGAGAGCGCAGCAACTGTTCCCAAGGCCTTAGTTCCGCACCTACCCCAGGTGGTATAAGCAGAGGAGGAACTGATTCTCTTAACTTCCAACAAACATCTTCCTGCCACTTAGGAGGAGCCTCCTCTCTACTGTACCATTTATGTTTCTCAAAACCAGCAGAATCACTGCCCAGTGCCTAGCCTGTGCCCAGCAAATAGTAGGCATTCAATAAAGGTTTGCAGAATTTAATTCACATCTTTCCAGCTGTTGTTGGGGCATTTAAATGGAAATCATACCATGGTTCTAGACTGTCAAACCAGAGCAACGTGGAGATAGGACTGTTAGTGCAGCTGCAGACTATTATCAGTGTCTTATCTGTGCAGAAGTGGCAGCAGAGGGGGACCATCTGAATACCGAAAAGAAGAAAGCACAGACCTGTTCAATATGTGAATTTCTTTCATCTGTTCCCAAATGCTTGGGAGCTTTTAAAAAAGAAAAAAATGGGTTTTTTTGTTTGTTTTTGTAGAAAGTTGCAATTGTTTTTACCAAGAGTGTATGTGAGACTTGACTTACCCTTCATTCACTGGCTGGAACATGGATTGGGGATTTGATAGAAAAATAAACTCTGTTTTTGATTCAAAAAAAAAATCAATCAAAAGAGTTAAATTGCTGGTACCAATGTTGAGCAATCTTGTATCTCACGAGGAACATCACAGCAACTACTCTGGGAGAAAGCAGAAGGGGATTAAAACAGAGACAACTTGGCGGAAGAGAACGCCTCCAGGTGACAGTCACCACTGTCTCTGTGTGACAACAATTAAAGAATCTTAGGTCGTCCACCCCTACCCCGGCCAGCTTTAATAAGATGTGGCTGGCAAAAATTGTATATATTTATGGTACATAATGAGATGTTTTGATATATGTATACATTATAAAATGCTTAATTCAAGCTAATCAACATATTCATCATTTCCCAAACTTATCATTTCTTTGTGGTGAGAACATCGAAGATCTACCCTCTTAGCAATTTTCAAGAGTGTAATACATTATTATCAACTGCAGTAGCTATGCTTCACGATAGACCTCTAGAATTTATTCTTTGGTTTAACTGAAACGTGTACCCTGTGAATAACATCTCCCCATCCACACCCCCTCACCAACCCTTGTCAACCACTATTCTAATCTCTAGTTCTGTAAGGTTGATTTCTTTAGATTCCACATATAAATGGGATCTTACAGAATTTGTCTTTCTGTGTCTGTGTTATTTCACTCAGCACAATTTCCTCCAGCTTCATCCATGTTGTTGCAAATGACAGGATTTCCTTCTTTCTTACAGCTGAAGAGTATTCCATTGTATATGTGTATACACCTCCCCTCTCAACCTGTTGTCTCCATCCATTCACCTGTCAGTGTACACTGAGGTTGTTTCCACATCTTGGCTCTTGTGAATAATGCTGCAATGAACACAGTAGTGCAGATATCTTGCTGAGATATCGATTCGATTCCTTTCCACATATTCCCAAAGTGGGATTTCAGGATCACATGGTAGTTTTACTTTTACTTTCTTGAGGAACCCCCACACTGTGTTTCATAATGGCTGTACAAACTTACATTTTCACCAAGTTACTATGGTTCCCTTACTCCACAGCCTTGCCAACACTTGTTATTTATTGCCTTCTTGATAATAGGTATTCTAACAGGTATAAGATGATATCTGATCGTTTACATTTGCATTTCCCTGATGATTAATGACATTGAAAATTTTTCATATACCTGCTGTCCATTTGGTTGGTTTTAATGCTAAAGTGGAAATATGCTTTCATTACTTTGACTTCTCTCCTTTTGGTTTATTAATATAATTATCCTGCTTTACATTTTCTTCTATTTTTCTCCTTCAGTTAGCAAAGTCCACACAGGCAATGGATGGAGCAAATCACTCTGTGGTATCAGAGTTTGTGTTCCTGGGACTCACCAATTCCTGGAAGATCCAACTTCTCCTTTTTGTGTTCTCCTCTGTGTTTTATGTGGCAAGCATGATGGGAAATTTTCTCATTATACTCACTGTAACCACTGACGCTCACTTACACTCTCCCATGTATTTTCTATTGGCCAACCTCTCCTTCATTGACCTGGGTGTTTCTTCTCTCACTTCTCCCAAGATGATCTATGACCTTTTCAGAAAGCGCAAAGTCATCTCTTTTGGAGGCTGCATTGCTCAGATCTTCTTCATCCATGTCATTGGTGGTGTAGAGCTGGTGCTGCTCATAGTCATGGCCTTTGACAGATATGTGGCCATATGTAAGCCTCTCCACTACCTGACCATCATGAGCCCAAGAATGTGCATCTTCTTTTTAGTGGCTGCCTGGATGACAGGCCTCATCCACTCTGTGGTTCAGTTGGCTTTTGTAGTAAACTTACCCTTCTGTGGTCCTAATGTGTTGGACAGCTTTTACTGTGACCTTCCTCGGTTTATCAAACTTGCCTGCACAGACACCTACCAGCTACAGTTCATGGTCACAGCCAACAGTGGATTCATCTCTCTGGGCTCCTTCTTCATACTGATCATTTCCTATATCATCATCATTCTCACTGTTCAGAAACAGTCTTCAGCTGGTTCATCCAAGGCTCTGTCTACACTTTCAGCTCACATCACTGTGGTCATCTTGTTCTTTGGTCCTTTGATATTCTTCTATACGTGGCCATCTACCTCCACACACTTGGATAAGTTTCTGGCCATCTTTGATACAGTTCTCACTCCTCTTCTTAATCCTATCATCTACACATTCAGGAATCAAGAAATGAAGGTGGCAATGAGGAAAGTATGCAGACAGCTAGTGAATTACAGGAAGATCTCCTAAGTGATTGCCTATATTGTGAGCGTCCTGCTGACAGACTCAGAGAGGAGCTTCTCTTTGTCCTAACTGGATTGATTATCCACATTTATATTGGGTCTATTTGATCTTCACTTAGCAGGGTAAGACATTAACTTAAGGAAAGAGAGAAGAAATTATAGGTAAAATATTTGTTGATCAAAGATTATGATAACTTTAGCTATAATTCCTAAGGAATACTATTTATATAAAATAATTCCAAGAAACACAATAGAGCAAGCTTCTTTAAGGCCCTTGCAAGAGGGAAATCTCTAACAAGAATACGTCTCATATACAGGAATTTATGGCAGTATGCAATGGTGCATACATAAAGGGAGATTGAACTGGGTCCTCTTACTGTATCCCACAGTTTGCCACATCTACCCCCTCCTTTTCAGTCTCTGTCATGCTGTGTAAGGAGAATAGAATGTTTGAAAGCACACATACAGGAGTCTAATGGATGCGTGCTCTTGAGTAGAAGCTGTGTGAGATATTTTTGGAATATGAAGAGAGAACTGAGACTATGTCATGATTTTTCTCCATGATCAACATTATGCTACTCAAGCCTATTCCGTTTTTCTTTTTTTTTTTTTGAGACAGAGTCTCACTCTGTCGCCCAGGCTAGAGTGCCGTGGCGTCAGCCTAGCTCACGGCAACCTCAAACTCCTGGGTTCAAGTGATCCTCCTGCCTCAGCCTCCTAGTAGCTGGGACTACAGGCATGTGCCACCATGCCCAGCTAATTTTTCTACTTTAGTTGCCCGGCTAATTTCTTTCTATTTTTGGTAGAGCCCGTGTCTCACTCTTGCTGAGGCTGGTCTCGAACTCCTGACCTCAAGCGATCCTCCCACCTCAGCCTCCCTAAGTGCTGGGATTACAGGTGTGACCCACCGTGCAGGGCCCGATTAGTTTTTATTCCCCTTTCCCTCTCTTCCTTTTTACTCAGCCACAGTATACTCTCTGGGCCAGGAAGGTTTTTTCTCCCTTTACCTTTCCTCTCTCAGGCTTTCTTCCTTCTCCTTCCCATTCACGCATCCCTTTTTCTCTCCCACTTCCCTTTTACCCCATGCTCTTTCTTATTCTAACCTCCCATTACTGCTGTCCCTCTTAAATTGCTCTCTTAACAGTTCTTGTAAAATGTCTACTCCACAGGTTTCATGTCTTGATGAACTTGTGTGTGTTTTGGTCTCAAGGCCTCAGCTGTGAAGTGTGAGCATAGTGGAAACAGCCAAATGACAAGGATAGAATCACTGAGTTTTCTTTTTTTAATAAAACCATCAACTCCGAGCATTGCAAACATTGCCAAAATTTTAACATATCATTGCTTCTTTACAGATTCATTATTTGAATTTATATGTATGTATATAACTAAGACAAACAGTTTACTTCCTGAACCTTCTACAGCTTTCTGTTGCCATTGGGCTTTGTCTTTTACTATCGACTTTCACATTCTGAACTATCCAGACACTTTATCTTAGGGTGAATCTACCCTTTTCCCTCTGATAAACACAATCAGATCTTATTACCTTGCATGATCATATTTCTTGGTCACCAGAACTTCTAGTATAGTTTCATTCACCTATATTAATTATTAACATGATGCTTAAACAATGTAACTAACTTCAATTTCACTGAGAGTTCTTGAAGGTAACTTAGATCTGCCTGTCTCATGCAGTCATTTTAGTAGAACAGCAGAGCTCGTGAGCACCTTAAATACAGCCTCTTACCACCACACACAGCCTATTTATACCTTCTCAAGGTAGAAAATATTATTTATAAAGTACGAAAAATGAACACATTCACTAACAGATTCCAAAGGCACAGACACTCCATAAAGGTATAAGTAAAGTGACACACACACACACACACACACATGCAAACATGGACACTCACTAGGATGTTTCAATATTCAATATTTCAATATTCAATTGAATGTTTCAATATTCAATATTTAGTCTTATTTAAAATTATCCAAATAATATCCACTGATTACTCTACTTAACACTAACCCAAGGATTAAAAAAACTAAGTATCTCGATCTTATGTTTAAGTGGACATACTGCAGAACTGTCATCATTTTAATTCAAATTGATTAAACATATAATTTTATAGCTTTCCTAATTTTACATGCTTGCTTTCTACTCCATCGGGGAGAGGATATACAGCTGTTTTATAAAAAATATTATTAAAATGTTCTGA